CTCGTTTGAGTTCCCTAGGGCACTTAGGGATGGCCAGGTGCAAAAACCCGGGCTAAGGTTACACTACTGTGTACCGCTATGGTGACTATTTGGCAGTTGAGAAAGTCGCTCTACTGCTTATAAACTATATGTATAACGGTTTAATAGAAATAAGCCTCCTGATATGCGCGTAGTCTAAACCGTGTTGGGAATTTTGATTAGATTTCTGTGGATTATAATTCCGTTATGTCTGAAGTAAAACCATGGGCTCCCGGTATCGCTGTATGGCGGAGATATTGCTCCTAGAGTAAGCCATGTGTTGCACCCTAGGTGTTTAAGCAGTACCGTTATAATAGGGAAAGATCGTAGGATAGTATCTGCTCGCAAATTTTGGTCTTTTTTCTAATTACTGCATTGTTTAGGCTTGGCAAGACTTTTGCTCATCTCTCTGTCAACTTCACAATGCCCCACGACTTCGCCATCCTGTGTGGCTGAGCTTGTTGGAACGAGATCAAAACGAGAACGTAGTAGTAGCCGACTTCTGTAAACAACTGACACGACTAGTGGAGAAATTGGACACGAAGCATACGAACTTGTATGGTTTTGCTGATTTAGAATTTTGTAAGGCTGAGCTTTTCGTAGCCTAAGCGAGTCTTTTCAGTTTCCTTTCAAATGTGATCTCCACGGTTCTGATGCACCACATGTCGTGGGTGGCTAGTGTGGCACCGCCATTACACGCACCAACACATCTTCACGAGAAAAACCCACTTGTTGGCTCGGTATGGTTACTTTTGTTTCTTCAGCGCTATTTTGGTAATTAGTGTTTCCCATTGAATATTTGCTTATATAGATATTCAACGACGAAGCGCCGTATATGCCTTACAATGCGCAGATTGCACAGTATTTGGAGATCAGTGGCAGTGTTGGAAGTGTACATCGCATGGCGAAGGTGAATAAGTTCTGCTTATATTTTTTTTACCTCACGTTGGTTCAAACGATTCAGAATAAGAATCAGGGAAGTAATTCATTTTCTCGTCTACACGTTTTTGTTATCAACTTATCAAAAAGGGCCCGCTAATAATATGTGGAGATCAAACTTATAGACAAAAGAGATTTCGAGCTAAAAAAAATCTTCGGGCTTATTTGTACTTGGAATTCAGCTTATTTTGAGGCAGTTTTCGCGATTTATTTGCTGGAACGATCTCCTTTCCCGTGATTGAATCAGCTGCGCCCGCACATGTAATGCAACTGCTCGACTCAGGACGCTTTGGAGCATATGGCGTGCACCAGTGCGCACTCACCATTTTCGAACACGTTGACGCGTGCGTCTCTCTCATCTCCTATTCCCTCGATCTAATTCCGTTGTTTCACTAAGGCGGCTATCGTAACTTTTTCGTTCCACTCGGGGAGGGATGGTCGGTAATTCCAATATTTTCGTTATTTCCCCCTCCCTATTTAGGTCCGCTTCACAACTTGACTTTCATTTTCATGCCAGCATCTTCACATTGCTTATCGGGTAAT